AGTTTTTGTCTGGCTGACAATTTGTCTACTTTAAGACCAGACTAAAGACTTTCCTTTTTGATAAATCCTAAAGTTAGGATCAGACTGGGTTTTCTGAGCTATCCTTTACTTCTACTGCTATAGGTTTACACGGCTGGATGACAAACTGACTACATTTCCTCACTCTACTGCCATCTTTACTTGCTCTACTCTACCTGTTTGTATTTGTACATAACTATTTATATTATTAACATGTTTTCTTTGTCTTTTTTTCCCATAGAACCTACACCTTGATCATAGAAACTACACCTGGGCCACAGAAACTACACTTGGACCATAGAAATGACACCAGGACCATAGAAACTACACCTGGACCGTATAAACCACAACTGGACCATAGGAAATACACCTGGACCATACAAACCACACCGGGACCATAGAAACTACACATGGACCATAGAAACTCTACCTACAATATAGAAACAACACCTGGACCATAGAAACTATATCAGGGCTATAGAAACCACACCTGGACTATAGGAACTACTCCTGGAAAGTAGGAACAATACTTGGACCAAATAAACTACATCTGGACCATAGGAACTACATATGGACCATAAAAACCATGCTTGGCCCATAGAAAACATATCTGGACCATAGAAACTACACCTGGGCCATGAAAACTACACCTGGACAATGGAAAGTACACCAGGACCATGGGAACTACACCTGGACCATAGGAACTTCACCTGAACAATATAAGGCACAACTGGACCATAGAAACCATACCATAAACATAGAGACTACACTTGCACCATAGAAACTACACCTGGACCATAGAAACCACACATGGACCATAAGAACCACACCTGAACCATATAAATTACACCTGGACCATAGAAACCACACATGGACCATAAGAACCACATCTGAACCATATAAATGACACCTGGACCATATAAACTATATCTGAACTATAGAAACATCATCTAGACCATAGAAACTACATCTGAGCCATATAAACCACACCTGGACTAGGAACTACACCTGGACTGTAGGAACAAAACTTGGACCATAGAAACTATGCCTGGGCCATATAAACTACACCTGGCCCATAGGAACTACACCAAGACCACATAAACTA